TTCTGTGCAGTTCCTTTTGGCATGGACCGCTTACTGCATGAAGAGCCCTCTAGTGAGTTTTTGGGGTGAGGGTGGATCCCCAAGAGTGAGTCATAGTCAATGAGTCTGACTGTTCTTCCACTAGGAGGAAGCATCTCCCCCCACATTGGGGCAGCTCAGCTTACCAGAATATCTAAGGTAAATGAATAGGAAATCTGCTCAAAACCATTTAGAAAGCAACCTCTTATGGCTGCGTTATGCAAATTCATAGGCTAGAAACAGAACAGGCACCAAGAGGAAGCACGTGAGCTGAGTGAGCAGAGTGTGTGTGGAGTGGGTTATAATCAAGAAAAGCTTTAGGAGGATATGAAGTTGCTTTAAAAAAAAAAAAAACTTTCCCTCCTTTATTATAAAAGAAACATGGATTTATTATACAAAATACACAGAAGACAAAAATAAAATTAGTTTATGAGCCCATCACAGGGCACTGAAAAGAGACTTCAATCTTTCTGTTCCTCTGCCCCCTTTCCCGCAGCTTCCTACCTGGCCACAAACCACACTTAGAGAATCTGACTTCCCAGTTCACCTAACATTTGGCAATTGATGTTTCCAGTGTTTTTTCTCCACATATATTGTAAAAGTATGGTTGAGTATATATTGTGTGTGCAGATGTTAGACAGTTTTGTTTTGTGGTTTTATCTTCTGCTTAGTATTACCCACTTTGTAAATGAGATGAGTCCAGTGAGGTGTGGAAAAGGGTCATGGCCACTGTTTGGTAGAGAGGAAACTGAGAACTGGGAGAAAGGGGCCCTAAAAGACCAGCTGATACCCTGTGGGATGGAGGATCTTTTAAATCAAGTCTGTGGGCTGCATGCAGCCCAGGATGGCTTTGAATGAGGGCCAACAAAAATTCATAAAATTTCTTAAAACGTTATGAGATTTTTGCAAGGTTTTATTTTATTTTTTAATTTAATTTTTTTAAAATTTTAGCTCATCAGCTGTCGTTAGTGTTAGTGTATTTTATGTGTGGCCCAAGATAATTCTTCTTCTTCCAGTGTGGCCCAGGGAAGCCAAAAGATTGCATGCCCTGTTTTAAATGATAGAAGATGAAGAGCATCTAAACTTCAACCTCCCAGCTTCTGTATGCGTTGGGAGCTGTAACAAAGTCAGCCTCACCTTTGACCTTGGATTGGTTTCCCTAGCCACAGATGGAGCTCTGATGCCATTGTCGGGGTTGGCGCTGGGTGGGCACTGTGGTGAGCACTTCACATACAACTGATTGTCACACCTCTGAGACTCAGGTGGTGAGTTCCTCCGTTTTACAGATTTGGAAACTAAGGTTTAGAATAGCTAAGGACCTGAAGTAAAATCCATGTGACACAGCAGAATAGCTGCGATTCAGATGTGTTCGTCTTTCTCCTAACCGCTGTCCTAGGCAGCTTCTAGTTCCATGGAAGAGAATGTCTCCTGATTCCTCACTTCTTGCTAAGCCTTTCTGGATTGACTCACCGAAGAACAAGGGGTACCCTCCCAGCAGTTCTAGGGAGGGGAGGTTGAGGAGGGAACTCATGAGCCTGAGCCCTCCCTGCTATATGGAGTGTGTATCAAGGAGATTTGAGAAAATAAGTAACTTCAGCATCTATTCTCACCATGTGGCTCTTCCTCCAGGAAGTTTTCCAGGTTGAATTCCACTGGGTACTCATCCATCTCCTCCTCCATTCTCTTCAGCATTAGCCAGATTCAATTCAGAGCCACTCAGTCTTTGATATTGTGACCAGATGTCCCCCGAGGAGCCCTGTCTTTGAGATTCAGAATAAATTAGCTGAATCTCACTGCCACAAACGTAGGGCAGTGGTTCTCAAGTTGTGGGACCTTAGACCAGCAGTGTCAGCATCACCTGTGAACTCGTTAGAAATGTACATCCCTGGGCTCTGCCCACCGCTCCTGGATCAAGCTCTAGGGGTGCAGCCCAGTGGTTTGTGTCTTATCAAGCTCACATGGTGATCATGGTGCACACTGAAGCCTGGGAAATGCTGGTCTAGAGATTCCAAAATAAGCGGTGGTGGCTTATATTTTTCACCTCTGGCTCTGAGTTCCTATTTCCATTGAATTCGTTAAGATTATTAACTACCCCTAGGTGACAAGCATGGTGGCCCAGAAATTAACAACATGAACTCTGGAGCCAGAGTGCTGAGATTTCAATTCTGTCTCTAAGGCTCACTCATTGTATGGGTGTCCCTGAGCGAGCGGCATAAATTCCCTGTGTTGCAGACCTCTTATCCCTCATATGAAATAATAATGTTATTTCCCACAGGGCAGCTGTGAGCATTCAATGAGGCTGTGTCTGTTAAGTATTAAATACTTAAACAGTGCCTTGCACATAGCAAGCCCACAGGAAACATTAACTCTCATTGGTTTCATGCAAACCATGAACTCTTCTGCACTGTGTTGACCCAGATGTGAAATTACTCCCATACCCCTGGTTTACACACACACACACACACACACACACACCATTTACACAAGGCTTCGTGAATGCGGTGAACTTTAAGGAGGTCTGGGGAGACCAAGGGTATTTGTATTACAAAAATTTAGAATTGAATACTGGATAACCTTATTCTAAAAGAGATTGCTTGGCCAAAGGTTATGTCATTTGGTGTTCTTCCTCCTCTCTCCCTTGGTGCTCACCAGCAACTCACTCAAACAGGTCCCCCTCTTTATTATTTTGAGTAATTCGGCTATCTTTATTCTCCAGCCCCACTCCTCAGTTCACTTTGCAAATCCAAAGACAACTTCTAAAGAACGGACCTTCTACCCTGATTCTCATGCTGGATTCTTCCCTCATAGAAAAAAGAGAGTAGCAATGAAGATTCATTTTTCCTACTGACATGAACTGTGCTACCTCTCAGGATGCTTTAGTGATAGTCAGTTTTGGTTTTTCTCTATAGGTATATGAATCACACTTTGTATTTTTTTCCAATAAATACTTGAGAAAGAATTTGATCCAGGAGTCTGGGGCAGAGCCCAAGGCTGCGCATTTCTAACATGTTCACAGGTAATGCTGATACTGCTGGCCTGAGGTGCCACAGTTTGACCGCAATGTATTTTTCTGCAATGGGGCATATTGCTCTATAAATGTTCCTCTGCTCTTGTTCTAAACCTTCACACCCTCATAACGAGGGATTTGATCAGTCACAGGTTCTCAAACTTGATACCAGCCCACATAATTCTTGGTTGGGGTGGGCTATCCTTTGTATTATAGGAGGCTTATTAGCACCCTTAGCCTCTACCCAGTAGATCCCAGTAACACTTACTAGTTATGAGAACCACAAAACATCTCCAGACATTGCCAAATGTCTCTGGGGGTAAGGGGTGTGATGAGGAGCCACCTCCAGTTTTGAGAGCTGCTGGTCTAAGCTAAATATTTCCTGTGATAGTTCAAGTCCATTACATTTTATTGTACCCCACACTTTGTAGACTATTTAAGTTCAGGGGCCTGGATTTATTCATTGAGAAGAAAGGTATGGAGGAGTCCCAGCAGCCTCTGGGTCCCCCTTGATTTCCAAGGAGAATCATCAACACTTTGTGACTGCATTTTCTCAAAGGCTTCACACTTAACCCATCTGTAATGGAGCCAAGGACATCCATGTCTGTTTCCAGTACCGTCTCTAGTCCTGTTGACCCTCCCCATGTGGCGGGAAACCTCATAGGAACTAGGGAATGGCCTTTGGTTTTTGGCTTATAAATACTCATCATCACATTTCTCTTACTGAGAACTTTTTTTAGAATCATGTTTAACATTCTTGTTGCCGTAGTGGAAACTTTTGTTCTTTGGAGGGCTTCCCATCCTAGGCCCAGGTCAGATTCTTCAGCTGAGCTCTGAACATTTTCTGGGGAAGTTTCAGCAGTGAGATTGTACCTCTGATGCACTTACACAACCGTGGTTGGATTCTGGGTTAAGACTTCCAGGATCCCAAGATAGACAACAGGGAAGCTGTGCAGCTGGAGGAAGGCTGTGTGTCCGGGAGTCTTTCTGGGAGGCCAGGATCAAAATCCTTTTATGGTTCTATTACTTTTCTGGGTTTCTCTCCTAGCCCCCTAATGTCTTAAATCTAAGATAAACAATGAGCGCTTCAGTCAGTACAAGATTAGGCTTAATAGCACACCAACTCCAAATTTCAGTGACTTAAAACAATACAGGTTTATTTCTTACTCATGCTATCTGTCTGTAGTGGGTCAACAGAGGGGCTCTGCTTGTTATGGTCCCTTAGGAACTGAGGCTGGTAGAACAGGCCTTGTCTTCAATGTTGACAGCTGCTGTGCTAAAGGAAAAGGGAGTCTGGTCCTCACAATTAAAAGCTCTAGACCACTAATGATGCTTGTTTCTGTCAGGGTTCTATAGTGAAACAGAACCAATAGGACCTCTCTCTACATATATCTGGATTTGTTTTAAGGAATGGGCTCCCATGATTGTGGGACTGGTAAGTCCAAAATCTGCAGGGCATGCCAGCATGCTGGAGACCCAGGAAAGAGCTGATGTTGCAGCTCAAGACTGAAGGCAGTCTGGGGATAGAGTTCCCTTCACTGGGGGACCTCGGTCGTTTTCTCTGAAGGCCTCCAACTGATTGAATGAGGCCTACCCACATTATAGAGGGTAATCTGCTTTACTCAGAGTCTACTGATTTAAGTGTTCATGTCATGTAAAAAAAAAAAAAAAAAAAAAAAACCAAAAAATCTGGCTGGGCATGGTGGCTCACGCCTGTAATCCTAGTAATTTGGGAGGTCGGAGTGGGTGGATCACCTGAGGTCAGGAGTTTGAGACCAGCCTGGCCAACATGGTGAAACCCCATCTCTACTAAAAATACAAAACTTAGCTGGGCATGATGGCACATGCCTGTAGTCCCAAGCTATTTGGGAGGCTGAGGCAGGAGAATCACTTGAACCTGGGAGGCGGAGGGTGCAGTGAGCCGAGATCATGCCACTGCACTCCAGCCTGGGTGACAAAGTGAAACTCTGTCTCCAAAACAAAAAAACAAAAAAACAAAAAAACCCCACAGCAACCTTTATACTGGTGTTTGACCAAATACCTGCTCCCATGGCCAAATTGACATACAAAATTAACCCTTATGACACTCACCTTCTATTTTCAGTGAGTGCACCAAAATTAGTCACATGGCCCCACCCAACACAAGTACCCAGGAAGTACAATCCACTATGTGCAATTGGGGGTGGGGACCAACAGTATTTGACTAAACATCAATAACTGGCACAACTATAAATTATTTTATCTGAGGATGAAAGAAAGTATGAATCTGTGGTATTTTCATGTTAATGCATTCTACTAACACAATGCAGAAATAGTGTTAGATTTAGCTCTTACCTGCTCAATTCATTCGTAGGGGAGCTCATGGAAGAATGTGGGTTGTAGCGTGGCTTGGCCTCCAGGGTGACTAAATTTGAACACTGTTACTGAACATCTTCCTCTGTTATACTTCTGTATTGTTTTCTTTATAACATGTTTTCTGTGTGTGATGTTGCATTTAAAGCCCATTTGTGTGCTATGTAATTGAAGAATGCCTTGCAATTAATTTGGCCTTTGTGACATCCTTTTAGTATAAACTCTTTAGTTTCCTTTTTCTTGCTTGGATCGGAATCATCGAAAAGGGCTCAGGAGCCAGCTGTCACTCTGTGTCTTCTGCTACTGAGTCACTGTGTTTCTGACAAGTCCCTCCCGAGTTTGGGCCCTCGTTTCCCTGTCTAGAGTGGGGTTGAGCAATGTGATTTCTAAGGTTCCTTCTGGCTCTGACATTCTGTGTGCCTTTGTTCAACACCCTCTCTCAGTGATGCCAGTGCCAGGAGGTACAGCCCTGGGGATGTGTAACAGGGTTTTCCTCCATAAAACTGGCAGAATTGTTCTGGGTTCTTTCTTGAAAATGTGGCCCCTCATCAGTGCTCTGGCCATTTTGCATGCACTAGCTCACAGAGAATGCGGCCTACACCCCAGCTAGTGAGCATCATCGTCATCATCTCTGTGCCCACTGGTGCTCGGCTTGGCTGGAGGAAGCTGAGGACAAGAGGATGTTAGGCTGGAGCACGGGGAGGCCTGTGGAAGGCAGGTACGGGGGGTAGAGTCTGGCCCAGCTGAAAATGGGCTTGGGGAGCCTGGCCAGTCCTTCAAGTCCATCTGGGCAAACCTAGTCTTCAAAGGGCAGAGTTACAAGGACCTCAAACGCTACTTACCTCCTCCAGTACTAACATTTGACACATCTAATGCCCATTCATTGTTGTGAAGTTCGAATGAGGTAACTCATGAGGAAGGGCCCGCAGAACTAAACACACTCTCAAACAGAATTATGATCATGTGCTGCCTGACTCCACACAATTTTAGTGCTAGTTGCTGGGGGCAGAAAAGTGAAAAAAAGATGCTCAGTTAATTAGCATACAATGTGATGCCACCTCTAACAACAGATTTTGGATGATGTCTTAGTTCAAGCTGCTCTAACAAAATACCATAGATTGGGTGACTCACACAGCAAACACTTATTTCTCACAGTTCTGGAGGCTGGAAAGTCAAGATCCAGGCACTGGCAGATTTGACGTCTGGTGGTTCAGCCTTCTCACTGTGTCCTCACATGGCAGATGGGGTGAGACAGCTCTCTGGGGTCTTTTTTATAAGGGCATGAATCCTGTTCAGGGGAGCTCCACCCTCATGACCTAATCATCTCCCAAAGGTCCCGCCTACACATAGCATCAGATAGGGAATTCTGCCTCAACCTAGGAATTTTGAGAGAACACATTCAGTCCATAGCAATGGGCAAAGCTTGTGGGAGTGCAGAGGAGGGAGTTTTTAAACTTTCAACACTCTGCTCATGGGGGTGGAAGCCTCCATAGCAGCACTGACAGTTTAACCTGGTCTGGAAAGATGGCAAAGACTGCACAGGCGGAGGGAAGGGGCATCCTAGCCTGAGCGAGTGGTAGCGTGCTGGAGAGGCTTATGGAAACCTCTGGTAATCTGGCTTGGTGGCTGGGTGGGGTGGGTCGCACCATGTGGGGGAAGCTGCAGAGGGAGCTGGTGATCAAATTAGGAAAGGTCTTGGATAATGTATGAGGAGCCTGGACTTCACTGAATTTTTCAATTACCAGGTTTTAAAAAACTTTTTATTTCAATTTTGGCTGAAAGAAGAAGCGATTGCTTTAATTTTATTTAAAACCTGCCTGTGGATCTATAATAGGCAAAACTTAACTCAAATAGATTTAATCATAGTGTTGCTGCACTGTCCTGTTAATTTTGCTACTCTCCTTCCTCTTAGAGCTTCCGTGTAGAATACATTTATCTTCTTGCTCTAGTCTCGTCTTGGTTGAAATACTGGAGTGAGAGATAGAAAGTGGAATCTGTATTTTTTTTCTCTTTATACAGAATAATGCTTATTTTAGAATGTGGAAAATACAAAAAACCATAAAGATGAAAAAAGAAATTTACCCTCCAGACAAGGTTGGTAGAAGATGAGTGGTTGAGCTCCAGTAGAATCAGTTTTGTTGAGATCCTAAATTTTTCACGTATTACCTGTAAGACCTTGGCAATTTACTAGCTCCAGGCCTCAGTTTCCTCATCCATAAAATGGGAACGATAATCACAGTACCTACCTCCGGAAGTTCCTATGGGGACAAAATCAGTTTCTTCATGCAAAGCACTTAGGAAAGTGCTGTGTACATAGTAAATAATTAATATTTCTTATGGGTTATTGCAACACCCTCTGGGTGAGTTCAGCCCTGGAGTTGGAGCCACAGGAGGACAGCTTCCCCCGGGGAAGGGTCTTTCTGCCTCCATGTTCCACATCAGGAAAGTGGAGAAGCTTGTGGAGGCTAGTGCCGGTCATGGACTGGTGTGTGTTCAGAGTTTTTCCCTAGAGGATGCTGGCTCATCCTCCCTTGCTCCTTCCTTTCTAGCATTTCCACTCCCCTTGGGCTCTTGGGGCAGGCTGTGCCTTTAAGAAAGACAGCCACACATGCTGCTCCTGACAGTGGCCCTGCCTCCCTTGCTGGATGCCTTGCTGGGCTGTGGCTGGGACCCTCCTGGGCTAGATTTTAGTACTGAAGCCTCCAGAGGAGGAGGCACTGCTTCAAATCAAGCACACCCCACCCCAGGAATCCATGCCCACAGAAGGACTCCCTGTCTGCAGCTCCCTGCTGTGGACCTGGGCTCCCAGTGCCCAGCTCTGGGACATCAGAAGATAATTCTTGAGGACTGAGCTCAGGATCCCTAAAAAGGAAGTTGGAAAATAGCTGGATAAACTTGGTAAGTGAAAGAAAGCCACGTTACATCCTCTTCCTTGGATTGAGGATTTCTGATTTTGGGTTGAGTTCTGGTGACTTTTGCCAATAGTATCCGATGGGCAAATGTGAGAAGGAGGAGACAGAGGTGGGGGCTGGGATCCCCAGTGGGTAGCGAGTCTTGAACTTGGAGATAGGCCCCCCCTTCTGGTGGTTGTCAACCTTCAGGCAGGGAGGTGGGGGTTGACATCTGAACGTAGCTGGAGCTTGGCCCAAGGCGTGAAGATCCGGGAGGGGCAAATGTCAGATTTCTCCCTCATTTGGGAAAAACGAAGTGTGGTCAGTGAGTGCTGTTTGTGAAGATGCCAGAGACCAATGACATTTGCAGTCTGAGGGTAAAATGAGTGACCCTGTGAGTCTATCTCAGCAGGAGACTCAGACCAATTCCTCTTCTTCCTATAGGGTCAGGGGACAGACCAGGCCTGGGCCCCAAGAGGTCTGCGTTGTCTCCTTGGATTGAGGCGGTTGCCCATGAGCAGCAGCAGACAGTGTCGTAGTGGGAGGAGGCAGGTCTGCCAAGGGCAGGGAAGAATGGAGAGCCTGTTACTGCTGAAGCCTGGGAACGCTGCCTCGGGGGAGGCCCACGCTCCCCAGAGCTGGAGTGAGAAGGAATGGGAAGAGAAGTCTGCAGCAGGGGGATGGGCTCAGCCAGCACCCCCACCCTCTGCAGAGCAGATGCCCCCTTGCCCCATTTCCTGTGGCATGGACACAGGTGAGCTTCCTGGCCTTGAATGCTCAGGTACAGTTTGGAGGGCTGAGGTCTGCAACATAGAGGTGGCCTCCCATGGAGGAGGCAGGAGATGCTAGAAGCCTCAGCCCCTGGCACTCACCCGAGGCCAGGGTTTCCAGATCAGAGACGCTTTCTGCTAAATTATGCTTCAACAGATGTTTTCTGTGTTCCTACTTGTGCCAGGCTTTGTGCTGGGGATTTACCAAAATATAATGTGGCATGATGGAATAGGGAGGGTGCACAGAGCTGGAAAGATATTTTAGATGTGAGATTAAAGCCATTTTTGAAAAGTAACAATAATAGTTGCTATTTATTCTGTACCTTGAATGCACCAATCACTCTGCTAAAGGCTTTGCATCTCATTTAATTCTTGCAGTAGTTTATTGACTCGTGACTAATTTTGTAGATTTCACAGATGAAGAAACTAAGGCTCATAGATTAAGGACCTTTCCTTAAAGATGCAGGGCTGGTAAATGGCAGAGCCAGGATGAGCCTCTTAATTCAACTAACCATTCATTCATTTGTGTGTTCAACAAAGTTGAATTGCTGGTCTACTGTGTGGCAGCCATTGTAGAGGGCAGTCAGGACACCGCTGGGACAGGGAGGGGTCCAGGGCAACCTAACTCCGTAGCCTGGGTCCTCACCCCTAGCCAGAGCCCTTCACACTGGGCCCCAGAGACCCCTGGGAACATTACGTGAATGTTTTCTCTAAGGTCTGAGACTCTGCTTGAGAATGTGCTTTTCCTTGAGAAATGTTTCTTTGTTTTCATTTTAATAAAAATACTCTAAAAATTGGAGGCATTTATTCTGAATCATCTGAATGACCACCATGTAACCTACTGTTGGCATGTGATTTTAGTCCCCAGGTTTGTGTTTCTGTGCAAGTGGGCACCGAGTGGTTTCCTAAAATGATAGTTTTTAACTTTTAATGCTTTGTTTCTCAAACTGGGCTCTACATTGTGTGCTTCAAAGGCCCAAAGATTAAGGAAGGCTACATCGACCGATTCCATTGCAGGAAGGGAGAGGTGCAGTATGGGTGTCCCAAGAGGAAATGGTTCAACATCCCCCTCTCCTGGGGGATGAAGAAAACTGAGGGGTTTAGGTTGGGGCAAAGCAGCTTGGGGGTTCTGAATCTTCTAACCTCCTGGTCTCCAAGCTCAGGATGGACCTAGGCCAGAGACTCAGAGAGGAACAGGCAAGTCAGGAAAAAGGAAGGCCCCGGAGTTCGGATTGGGGTGCTCTGCTCTGACATAGCATCTCTGACCTCCAGCAAACTTGCTCCTTTCTGGGCCTTTGCAGATGGGACGACTTGTGCCGGGAAGGGGAAGTGCGGGGCCTCCCTGGAACACTTTGCCGCTTCCTCCCAAAGAGGGATGTTTTCTGGTCATTCAGAACTTCTGACCTCTCTTGAGGCCCGGCTGTTAGGTGAGAAGGCCATGGCGTGATCCCTGGTGTAGGGAACTGTGCATGCGACTTGGGCCCCACCACCCTGGGGGCATGCAGGGCTGTATCATGCTAGCCTGGTGCCTTGGCCCTTAGATGGGGCTGCGCAATCAGCCTCCTTTCTGGATCAGATGTTCTGCCAGTCCAAGAGGCTGGAGGCGGGAGACTCAGGGCCCCTGCTTCTCCATCCTCTTCCATCTCCTTTCCCTCCTCTCCCTACTGGGGTTTTGGGTCTTGCTGTCATCCCTGCTTTTGAATGATGCTCCACTGTATCTCCACTCTCTGGTTACTGTCCCTCAGCTGGGCTCTGGGTGGTCATTCTGGTCATCTTTTCTCCAGACTCTACTCTACCCTTTTCTGTCTTCTACATTAGGAGTCAGCGAACATTATCTGCAAAGGTCTTGATAGTAAATATTTCAGCTCTGGGGGCCTTCTGTGCTACACATTAGCAATTTGTTCCTAATTTTATCTCCTCAAGAGCAAGAGTCAATAGAACTTGGCTATCTCTGCAGCCTTCCCTGCCCCCAGCTCCATGCCTGCTGGGCAGTAGGCACTCAGGAAGTATTGCTGGCATAAATCCCAGTGACCTCTCCCCATCCCCCTAGAGCCTGTGCCCCAGCACGGGGCTTCTTGGGGTCTAGCTGTGCCATTTTGGGAAATCAGGATCTGGTCACCTGTTGGTTGCTGTGGCATCCTGTAGCTAAATCCATCTCTGGCCCTGTAACCTGAACCGGCCCCAGGCCCTGTGCTCCAGGATCGAGTGTCTCTGTTTGTTTTGACATCCCATGTGGGGCATTAGAGATCCAGATTTCAAAGCAAGAATTTTTTCTAGCAGCCGTTGAAGGCCAGGCCCCTGCCAGCTCCTGGGCTCCCATGTTAGCATTTTCAGTTAATTAAGAAAACAAACCCCACATCCCTGACAGGGGTGGTTCTCCCGATTCAGGACAGAGGACTTTGCATCAGCATAGCATGCAGGAGAGGCTGGCCAGCTCCTACAGGCAGGACGAGCTGAGGGAGGCAGATGTTTGAGCTGGAGAGGACCCACTGGTGCCTTCCCAGCAAGAGCAGGTGCCACAGAAGTCGCATGGTTGGGAAGCCAGCTCCGGGCAGGGTCCAGAGCATGGAATTTCTGTTCCTCTTTCCCCCTCCAGGGTGCATTCATCATGGGTGAGGGCGTGGGGAAAGGCCAGCAGGGTGAGAATAGCACGGGGAGACACAAAAAGACTTTCTTGGGACTTGCTAGGCTTCCTCTCCAGAGCCAGGTTATCCCAACGGTCTAGCTCCTGGAGGAGAATGATGAGAGGTGACCTGGGGTGGCTTCAGAGGGGCCCAGGTAGCTGACCTGCCAGCCGCCAAGGGGGAGCCTGATCAGAGAGGCTGCTTAGCCATGCAGGGCCTCGGTGTGAATTTAAGAAGGGTCTTTGTTAGGCTGAGTGCGGTGGCTCATGCATGTAATCTCAGCACTTTGTGAGGCCAAGGCAGGAAGATCACCTGAGGTCAGGAGTTTGAAACCAGCCTGGCCAACATGGGGAAACTCTGTCTCTACTAAAAATACAAAAATTAGCCAGGCATGGTGGCAGGCGTCTATAGTCTCAGCTACTCAGGAGGCTGAGGCAGGAGAATTGCTTGAACCCGGGAGGCGGAGGTTGCAGTGAGCTGAGATTGCCACTGCAATCCAGCCTGGGCAGCAGAGCGAGACTGTTTCAAAACAAAACAAGACAAAAACCAAGGTTGGGGGTTGGGTGGGGGGGACTTTGTTTCTTAAAGGAAACATAGTTAAGCATAATCCTGTAAAGTGGCCCAGCTCTGCCAGTGTGTGTGTGTTGGGCACTGTCCTGAGCCTGGCTGTGCATTCACATACACAATCACCGTCTCACCTGATCACATACTCTCTCTGTGGCACCAGGGATAAGATGTGCCCTTCCCCTGCTCCCACCATGGCTGTGATTGGGCAGGTGGGAATTGGACTCTGGGAGTGGAGGGAGCATAAGTGGGACCGGCTTTCTGCAGCCCGATATCTGTACTGAGTGTACTCTCTCCCAGGCGGGCAAGCCCTGCAGGCAGGGTGGGCTCATGCATCTCCTTGGATGTGGGATTCTCTTGCAGTTCACAGCCTGCACACTACATGCAGTGGTCCTGGTACCTCTTGGTTAGAGTGGAATAGGAGGGAGACCCAGTCCTGCTCTACCATTGCTAAATGGCCCAGCACACATTATTTGGGCTTTGTGAACCTCTAATTTCTAATGGGAAATGGGGATGAGGTTCACATTTTACGTGTCCCCATGGTGCAGGTATGTTGGCAAATATGAGATAAGGCATATTTCATGCCTGGTGCAGTGAACCTGGCCTCCTTCCCCTTCAGACATGTGTCTTGGTCCAGCCTGCTGGCTTGGGATGTGGCTGCCTTAAAAGATAGTGGGGAGAAATGATAAACACACGGCTGGCATCTGCTCAGCTCAGGAGAAGAGCCCTGGGGAAGAAGCGATTGTACGGCCTGCTCCTGGTCTCTCGTATAACTAGTTCAAATAACTGCCAGTTAGTAGCAGATTTTTAAAAAATTTTTATTTTACTTTTGAGGGTCTTCTCCTTACCTGCTGGGACTCTGGGGGCTCCCTACCGTGAGTACTTTGTCATTCACAGCACAAGCCCACAGCGAGGGACTGGGGCTATTCTAGGAAAGCAAGTCTCTTAAAAGGTGAGCATCCCTGTGGTGTTCTAAAGCTGGGGAGAAGCCACTTGGGGTTTTGGGGGACTCTCGACTCCTTCTCTTTCTCTCTTTTTCATTTCCAGTG